ATAAGGGGGATTACCAATAGACCCCTGGCTGTCTTCAAGCTAGCACTGGACAAGCACCTAAAGTCGGTACCTGACCAGCCGGGCTGTGGCTCGTACGTTGGATTGCGTGCAGCCAGCAGTAACAGCCTGGTTGATCAGGGTCTGATCCACCAGGAAGCCTTGCCACAGACCGGGCCGCGGGGGCTTGACCCCCGGAACTCTCTCCAGGTAAACTCCAGCTACCACCTCAGCAGTGGTGGCTCAGTGGGGGACTTAAAGAGGCCCGTGAGTTTCCCTGTCTCCTAATATCATATTTATTTTTCACTATAATCTACCTTGTCCATAATTACTATTGCATTTGCATTGTCTGCTTTCGTAAGGTGAAGTCTAAGACAAGGCAAATGCGATAGTAATTATATACAAGGTACATTATAGGGGGAAATAACATTAGAAAACAGGGGAACTGACGTGCTCCTGAAGTCCCAAAGAAATATTGATGTAAAGATAAGACTGTGTCAAAATAAGCCTGTTAATCCCCCCCCCTCCTTCCCCAGTACAGAAATCCTGGATTTAGCGCTTCTATTTGATAATAATAATAATAATAATAATAATAATAATAATAATAATAATAATAATAATAATAACAAATCCTGGTGGCGCCTCTACACCTGAGACGAAACTCGGGTCCGCTACAGGTCGTTTGCCTGGAGTTTACCTGGAGAGAGTTCCGGGGGTCAACGCCCCCGCGGCCCGGTCTGTGACCAGGCCTCCTGGTGGATCAGAGCCTGATCAACCAGGCTGTTGCTGCTGGCTGCACGCAAACCAACGTACGAGCCACAGCCCGGCTGGTCAGGAACCGACTTTAGGTGCTTGTCCAGTGCCAGCTGTTCATACATTACAATAAATGGGGGGTGACCAGGTCTAATCAGAGGGAGGGTAATTTATCCTCAATTCCTTGGATCAAAGGCCCCTCAACTCATTTTGATGTTTCACATCTTACACCAGATACCTGGTTGCTGGCGCTCTGTCAGGCTATGTATACATGCTAGCGAAGGGTTTTTGATTAAAGGAATCTGAGCTACCATGGCCTGTTCCTATTAGATTCCTCACTTATTTACTGCTAAATGTGCAGGGATAGATACTAGTCCATACATCTCTTCCTCTCCCAAGATTGAACGCGGGTCTTTGTGTTGTAGTCTGAAATTTACCACTGAGCTAGAGGCCAGGCTCTTATTATATACTAAATTATATTTAATTTTAAAGGAATGGAGTGGTAAGCCAGTGGAAGGCCTCGGTCAGATGACCAAAAGCTCCAGTTGCGGGTCATTATATAACTAATACCCGCGTCAGGAAACCTCTCTCTCTCTCTCTCTCTCTCTCTCTCTCTCTCTCTCTCTCTCTCTCTCTCTCTCTCTCTGTATATATATATATATATATATATATATATATATATAATATATATATATATACATACATATATACTGCATAAGTCAAAGTTATTTTAGGACGAGTCCACCTGAAAACCATTGCTGGGAGATATCTGAAGTTTTACTGGCTATTTAAATGTTTGTTAGGTCTTACTGGGGGGTGAGTTACATCAAGGTAGAAGCGTCGCGTTCTTTGTAAGATATAAAGAGAACTTCTGGGAAACACAGTGAAGGCCGAGTGCAATGATTCTTGGTCTTGCAAGTGCCGTATTGAGTATATCTTGGTAGATGTTGCATGGTAACAAGTGTGTTTAATCTCCACTAATTGTTAAACTCGTGTATGCCTACTGAACTTATTCGTGTGTACACCAGCTCAACTCATTCATGTGTATACCAGCTCAACTCATTCATGTGTACACCAGTTCAACTCATTCATGTGTATACCAGCTCAACTCATTCATGTGTATACCAGCTCAACTCATTCATGTGTACACCAGCTCAACTCATTCATGTGTATACCAGCTCAACTCATTCATGTGTATACCAGCTCAACTCATTCATGTGTACACCAGCTCAACTCATTCATGTGTATACCAGCTCAACTCATTCATGTGTATACCAGCTCAACTCATTCATGTGTACACCAGCTCAACTCATTCATGTGTACACAAGCTCAACTCATTCATGTGTACACCAGCTCAACTCATTCATGTGTATACCAGCTCAACTCATTCATGTGTACACCAGCTCAACTCATTCATGTGTATACCAGCTCAACTCATTCATGTGTACACCAGCTCAACTCATTCATGTGTATACCAGCTCAACTCATTCATGTGTACACCAGCTCAACTCATTCATGTGTATACCAGCTCAACTCATTCATGTGTATACCAGCTCAACTCATTCATGTGTACACCAGCTCAACTCATTCATGTGTATACCAGCTCAACTCATTCATGTGTACACCAGCTCAACTC